CTGTCGGTCTGGCCTCCTAACAGTACTGCCTGAGGGGACTATATGATTGCCCTTTCTTTGTCGGTCTGGCCCCCTAACAGTACTGCCTGAGGGGACTATATGATTGCCCTTTCTCTGTCGGTCTGGCCCACGAACAGAACTACCAGAGGGTTCTACATGCTTGCCCTCCTCTGTCAGTCTGGTCTCCTAACAGTACTACCAGAGGGGACTTACATGTTTGTCCTCCTCTGTCAGTCTAGTCTCATAACAGTACTACCAGAGGGGACTTACATGTTTGCCCTCCTCTGTCGGTCTTGTCTCCTAACAGTACTACCAGCGGGTATTACATGTTTGCCCTCATCTGTCAGTCTGGTCTCCTAACAGTACTGCCTGGGGGACTATATGATTGCCCTCCTCTGTCAGTCTGGCCCCCTAACAGTACTACAAGAGGGGACTACAGGTTTGCCTTCACCTGTCAGTTTCCCACCAGAACTACCTGAGAGGACTGCAGGTTTGCCCTGGTCTGTTCACCCCCATCAGTAACAGCTGATAAGATAACAGATTATTCCTTGTCTGTCATCCTCCAACCAGTATTACCTGAGGAGACTACAGATTTGCCCTGATCTGTCAGTTTCCCACCAACACTACCAGAAGGACTACAGGTTTGCCCTCATCTGTCAGTCCTCATGTCCCTTCTCAGTGCTTCTAGAAGGGACTCTAATACGAATATATAGCAAACTTGGTATTTACCCCATTTTATCATATAACAGACGAGGTACATTTTGTTAATGATATTCATCTACTTTTGGTTTTGTATAACATATCTTAAGTTCCCAGTGGTGATAATGATGTGTTGTGAAATTGAGAAAATAGCACATAACACAATTATCTACACACAGAATCATGATCATGTAATAAAGTTCAAAACTAAACAACTCACACTAGTTTGTTATTTATCTCAGCTTATAACAAGTTAGTGTGTGTTATAGAGATTTGAACCACATGTCTCTGTGGTGTACATACATGTTACGACATCATGCAATATATATACATGTATATAGATAGTCTATATATAGACTGTATATAGATTGTCTTATACAGTTTTGTGTTCATTATGTGCATATACAGGTACAAGCTCTAAATGATTTCTTCGTTAAAATCATTCCCAGATTTCGCTGAAATTAAATAGATTGTATGATACGCAAGAAAAGGAGAGAAGAAGAGAAATCACCCCTGCTAGTTTTTTGTAGCTAACCACGTGCACCGTCTGTTGATGTTACACATTCACAGCTACTGTACATGTCTACGGCTACTTGTGGTTGACCGACGATGTAAACCGACGTTGACAGACCTGCAATGTAGCACTCTAGTGACTTGCTGCATAATAAATCCCACAGGCACCACACTGTGATCAGCAAACATGACACATGTTGGTCCTTGAGTATTGATTGCAAGTCATAGTCATCCACAGCTGATCCTATGAACGACGTAATGCTGTTTTGACCGATTTCCAATTATTCATTTCAATTTTTTATATTTAGAATTTTTGCATCATATAAGAACCTTTTATCAAAATTTATTTAAAGAGGAATTGAGTAAGAGCTTACCTTCAGCCTTGAAACGACCAGCGTTCCTCTTCGTCTCTTGTTTGTTTCGTTAATATTGGCATCTGTTCGCTCAACAGTAGCAGGTCCCCCTTTCTGAGTTCAAATGTGACGAAAAATCCGATTGGTCGTTTTAGTCACGTGAGCGGATTAATTATAGTAACTTATCACAGTAGGGGGATTCCCTCTTGTCATGTGACTAGTATTTTTAACTGGACCACAAAACTGCTAAAAAGTAAACATGTGTGTTGTTTTTCCTGTTACATTTTCTTTTATATCCTCTTTGTATTTTTCTCATTCAATATGACAGAAGCTGAAGGAGATTGATAATACTAGCAATAAATGTTCACATATCGAGTATTTATATTTTGTTCCATGTTGTAATGACTTTGGAATGTTCTAATGGAAAAAAAGATATTTATCATTTCGGAAAATCTCTGCTCTGAAAATACATTGGTTAGATTTTTCTTATCTACGACGTACAAAACGACGTATTAGAAAAGTATCCCTGGGAGCTACCCTTCAATGAAAAGGGATATCACGCAGTGTTCAGGTAACTTACAGGTGAGATTTATGGAGAGCCTCTCTAAAGATCCAATTCTGATCAATTTCTCATTACTCCTAGCCTTGCGGCTCATCAGTTTAAAATAACATACAACATATACAGGTGTGAGCAACTACAAAACACAACCCTACCCAACACACACAAATACCATCAATTAGCTCGATGTTGAAAGAATTCAACATATTACGCACGTAAAGTTAAATCCTTTCTTTACTTGTTACTCATACTGACACGTTTTGATGAATTTGATAAATCATTAAAGACAAGCCGGATAAATATAAATGTGCTAGGTCTATTTCAAAAATATTTCATTATGACACGTTACCTTAAATATTCATATCGTTCAAATTTTAAGTATAAAGTTATTTTTAGCGTCATCAATGTTCCACAAATTACAAATTGTAATATTCCTTTCTGTATTATGTTTCCTCCCAATTTCAATAATCAAGCTGAGACACGTCATTTTGAATTTTGCTATTTCCTTCAAAATTGATTTTCTCATAGGTGGTATCAAAATGGAATTTAATGTTGCTTCTGGCTAGACTTAAAGACATTTGTATGCAATTATGTAACTCTGAATAGAGTGACATCTATGTATTTTTAGATTATTTATGTCGTAAACATAATAGTTGTTTATCTGAGGGCGAGACTATTTGAACTGAATTGAAAATATAATTATAATCATATATACATAAAATTGCGTGATACGTATAACCCATGTCTTGAGACCAGACAAACTAACGGATGTGATTTTTTATCAGACGATCAACATCATGAATACATGGATTTCGATATCGAGATATCGAAGTCAATGGTTAAAACAATGGACGTATGATAGTAATTACTTTCTATCTTAAGAAAACAAGAACGAAGAGATAGAGGAGTCCCCACTAAATCATTACATGTTATGCATGCACCATACATCACAATCGTTAATGCTCAGCACGCGCTACAAGATACTGGGCTACAGGGGCTGTTTCTTATGGCATTAATAGTTTTGTTATCTTCATAAAATGTCAGATAGTTACCGATTAAAGGAAAGCAGTTGTTTAATTATCGCTCTAAAATGTCGCACAGATAGAGCATGTACATAAAAAACCGTGCATCAGGCTGGAAGCATGGACGCCCAGATCCCTGGTTAATAAAACTAAACATATTAATGATACAGTAGCTATTTGTAGATAAATCCTGGCGTAATTCTACATCCAAAATGAAATGCTATTAAGGCGTAACCGTGAAGTATGCTTGTCCGATATAGTTTTCAAGACACGAAATGGTTGGGGAGTTGGGGAGACGAGACGGAGGGAGGAGGAGGGGAGGAGAAGAAAGAGGACTTAAAAAAAATTCTGGACAGATTACTGTGATGATCAAAGATTTAGGAATGGGAGTGGACAAGTTTATTTGTTTTTGTTTGTTTGTTTGTTTGTTTGTTTGTTTGTTTTTTTGTAACTAGGGTTCCCGGATACAAGTCTTTTGTTCACCAACTCAATTAAAACAACAAGAAGATAACAAAATTCATCTCCTTCGGCCCAATCCCTGGTTTAATCACAATATAAACAGGCGCTCGGCCCCATTGTACACCCGCCAGTGCTGAATGGCCAAAAGGCCGTTATATTGGAGTTAAAAACCTGTTAAATAGATAAATCCCTCGAAGTATAGTCAGTGAAACAAAGGGGCCTTACTCTGGTAGATCATGATGCCCGACCCCGATATATTCTAACCACAGGTGTTGTAAGTTAGTTACCATGGTATTCCCTCCCACATCGTATCTCATTCTCGTCGTCTGTTGAAAGACTAAAAGGTCGAAATAACAAAAGATGGATGAAATATTTTAATTTACCAGTGGCCCTTCTTATACCTGTGGGCTGTATGATGGGGAGACTAGACGATCGTTTACTGGGTCGTTCAGAGAGATCGTGGGAATGGTATGGATTATTTAAAAGACATGAGCCAGTCTCGTCAGGAAGACCACACATCATCTTCCCTGATAATTAACGAGCTCCTTGTACGGATGGTAGTCAATGATATCACAAATAACATTAACTAAAACATACTCTTGAAATGGTAGGCGTGGCAATATACGGTAATCATCCATTGAAATCCCCCGACCACTAAGGAAAGAACGAAAGAACCATTACCATTTTGGTCTCGGCCCTTACAATGAAATATCCTTACTCATTATACATTTTAAGCTTTAGTGTGTGTTTTGTGTTTTCAGTCTATAATACCAAGAAACTCGGTTCTGTTTCGTGTTGCTGCATGTAAATATCTTAACCTATGTTTTTTATCAACCAAACATTTGTGCTTGTTTATATTGTTATTTATCATATAATCTATCTGTTATCAAGTGAATTCACCGATGTAATATTGTTACTGTATATGTCACTAGTGTCACTAGAACGTTTTTCATTAACTACATCAGTCAGAAATCCATTGTGATGTCATGATATGGCCACTGACGTTACGTCTGGCATTGAAAATGGCGCATCAAAACGACTGTTTCCTTTAATTTTGTCGTCAAATTTTTATTTTAAAACCTGCTAAAATGCTTATTTCTGAGCTACATAGTATGTAGGTGATAAAAACAAAAAGACTCTTAAATTTGTTTTCATATCATATGAGATTTTCATACGGTGAAATGAAATTTCATGTAAGATCCAATATCAAAAATTTGAGTCTCATACATGGATTAAGGTCACTGATTCAATATGACATCAACAAAATATATAAAGCATGAATTCTGCCAAAAAACGATAACATCCCCCTTTATCCTATTCACACTCGTCCCTTCAAAAAAGGCGGTCAACTTTGATATACTTAAGTGACCTTACTATATACTACTTGTATTACAGGGTGTTTTTCGCCATAGCATTTACCGGAATCACTATTGGTCAAGCGTCATCATTCCTGCCTGAGTACTCGAAAGCCAAGCATGCAGCGGGGCTCATCTTCAAAGTCATCGACACCATCCCCCCGATAGACATCTATTCTAAACGGGGTGTTTATATGGTCAGTATACTAATTACCTGTGGTGATAGATTTTCCTTAAATCTTCAGAGCACAGAAAGAAAGTCAGAATTATTCTGACGTTTTATCTATGTCTGTTGTTCATTGTTTATTTACAGCTCATAAGCATTCATAACATCATATAATTGGTACATAAGTAATATGAAATACAAAGACATTATATCATCATGTGTACAGCATAATCTTGTACGTCGTATTTAGTTAAATACTCTGTCATTATCATGTACAAGAAAGACATTTACGGAAGATGGACAGCTCTTGTATAGTTCCTTAACATAAGTGTCCATTGACCTTACATAGGAATACATAAGCTAGAATAGAATGATAAAACACATTGACATTTACTATCAACATTATCAAACAAAGGCTCGAACAGGGCATACATATGTAAAGAGCGGTGCAGTCAGGGGATGGACGGCAACGATATATACAATTCTGTAGACAAACAATATTCATGAGATGTTAATCAAAGTGAAAAAATACAGTAAGTTAAAGTTGGAATTTAGACCGTACTAATAAACTTGATTGCTGATAATTTCACAAGTCACAAAATTACTTCTTTGTTTATATGATGGACGGTTCCAATAATACTTTTTGATAAACGTTTTACGAATATCTACATATAGTGGACAGATCAGAACAAAATGGAACAACTCGTCTCCTATCTGGTTTTCATTACAAAACCGACATAACTATTCTCTCTCGGAATATTACGATAACAACATTCTTATATATATAGCGGCAGGATGAAAGTCGTAATTTCGATATAAGTTTAAGATATGCATCTGGGATAAATTTTGTTACATAAAATTGCAATGTAAAACTATACCTGTGAGAAATATATAGGTCTAGGGTCGACATTTATTTTATAGACTCCAGATCGATATAGTATAAAAGTCGATAGCGCGTCAAGATAATTTGGATTAAGAAGAAATATTCGGAATATGGGAGGATAAATCTAGAGAGTCTCGATGTTCTTAGCTAAACATCAGCTCTTATCATATAAAATGTTACTGTGAAACGCGGTAAGACTATTCAGTTGGGCAAACTTGATCGACTAAGCGTCTCCCTCTACCCCTTTTTCAGAATATTTTCTTCTCGTGTCTCCTACGTAGGGGACTTTGAAGAGACCAATACACCCCATTGCAACATCTTGAATTTTTATATTTTTATTTCTTTCTTATATTGCCTTTTCTTTCTGAATGTGCTTTATTTTCAACTTTTTGTGTCGGTCCCGGCACCCATCGTCATATGATCCTGGTTGCTCTCGCAACATCTATTGTGCGTCTCTGGTTTGTCAAAGAAAGAAATGCTATTCATAGATGAGTGAAATAAGTATTCGGTGTAAGACGAACAAAATAAAGATAAATAAATAAAAATAAATAAATGAAATAAAAAAATAATAATAATAATAGCTCACACAGCACAAGTATAGCCAAACATGTCATTTCTTTTTTCAGGACAAGATGGATGGTCAGATCAGTATCAAAGATATCAACTTTAACTACCCTTGGAGAAGTGAGGTCAAAGTGTTAAAGAATTTAACGTTTGAAGTCAAGGCAGGACAGACAGTAGCACTCGTCGGTTCTAGTGGCTGCGGTAAATCCACAGTTATCTCCCTTCTCCAGAGGTACTACGACCCGATGGACGGAGGCCTGGTATGCTTTGATTAATAATTAGTAGATATACGTCTATCAATATTACTAGTTTGTTCACTGAGCTGTGAAGTTATCAAACTCCTTCTCTTTACTGTTGTTATCTAATAGTATCAACACATAACTTATAAATTATATAAAAAAAATTCGTGTTGGATAGAAAATTACTCAGCTTTTTATGATTGTCACTGATGTAAATAAAAACAGTTTTCTTCATATTTTGGTCTAAAATTAGTATACTATGTAAGGTGATATTTCATTTATAAATAATTCTAACACGCGTTTTGGTTTTAAAATATCAAATCTCAACATATTTGATTTGAAAACTGTTCAGCTTTTTACTTTTTTTTTCATAGGTATAGTTATATACGTTTGGAGAAAATGATACACAAACACAGCAAGGCTAAGTTAATTCAACTTGATTTGTTAAGATTTTCAAAGTTATTGATGTCTCCTCTGTTATACTCGTCCCAGTATCATTCACGAGAAAGTTTAATATACACAATTGTTTGTAAAAATGTCTTTGGTCATGTAATGCAATCGGCCAGATTTCATCCTGTTCTTGGTTTACACTTTCATCGTTCGAGTTATACAAATAGTTCACCAACACTTGTCAAGTCTGTAACTGTATCAAAAAACCTTTACTTCAGTCTGTGGACGGACGCGGGATAAAGGAAATTAACGTGCACAATCTCCGATCAAACATAGGCGTGGTCAGCCAGGAACCCATCCTGTTTGACTGCAGCTTTAAGGACAATATTGCATATGGCCTTGACCGCATGGCCGGAATGGACGAGGTTATAGAGGCAGCTAGGGCAGCAAATATCCACGAGTTCATTAGTACACTGCCGATGGTGAGTTATAAAGCTAGTATTAGTAATGGATTATACAATTTATATAAAAATCTAGACGTGAACTTAATTTTCTCTTCATATAAATTGTCTAGATCTGACCTACCAACACCAGTCAAGATATATGAATGTTCTCAATGCTTACTTTTGTACTAATTGAAAAACTAATGGTTCTGTAAGAGTGAGTTTTCGAACAGAAGATCGTTTACACATGTATTATCCATAAAGAATTCACATAAGTTATATATAAAGAGTTTAAAATATTAGTTCTTTTTATATCTAGGGATATGATACGACTGTAGGGGAGAAGGGGACGCAACTCTCAGGTGGACAGAAGCAGCGCGTGGCGATTGCACGTGCTCTCATCAGAAATCCGAAAATTCTCCTGTTGGACGAAGCCACGTCTGCATTAGACACTGAAAGTGAAAAGGTATACCTAAGTTAAAAGGTTTCTCATAATATAAAAATTTTAAAAAATGAAATGTTAATCAAATTCTGTTACATAATCAACTGTAAATAGATGAATATTGTTCCTTATGTTTAAAGCGCGCCATTTTCGGTTGACAGGTTAAATGTTTCGTTTACCTTTATCTACATTTGTAACGTAATACATGTTATGTGTAATGTTGTTGAATTGTCCATTAAACTATTGTTTGATTGAACTAATATCCGTAAGGGTGTCTTGTGACTGATTTCGGAAAATGTAAACACAAACACAGAATCCTTGATATTATGGGGATAGTATTAGAAGATCTTAGTGGTATCCTTAATTATATAAATGCCGGATCTTTATGAATTTGAGAATTTTACACGGCTAAGAAAATGTTCAATTTAAATTATATGTTTTTTTCACTTTGTTATGTAACAACACAATGCTTAAATTGTACTTTGCAGCTCGTGCAATCTGCTTTAGACAACGTTCAACAGGGACGTACATGCATAGTCATCGCTCATCGACTGTCTACTATACAAAACGCTGACGTCATATATGTCATGGACTCCGGACAGATCGTGGAAAAAGGAACACACCAAGAACTTATAGCACAAAAGGGAGTGTACTCCGCGCTAGTCAACGCCCAGCAGTTAGCTATGTGATAATAACTAAACATTTAGGAAGATTGTTTCAATTAGGAAGAGAAGGAGAAATCGTTTTTATTCAAATTTTAAAAAGCCAGTTTTTGTGAAAGAATTCGAAGCACCTTACGCTTAATTAAAACATTTTAGAATATTCTATGGTTTCACATCCTATATAGTAATACATGTTTTGTATAAGACTGTTTGCCGTTTATTGACCGAAAGAAATATTGTTTAAATAGTCACTTTTTGAAGCAAGTGTTGACGCTTCTTCATTTATGTAAATATTGATAATATTGTTGTCATGTAATACTTTAGTATGTCTTATTGAAAAGATTTCCGAACATTTTGTTAATCTTGATTCCATAGATTTCTTTTGACGCAACTTGTCTTGCTTTATTCACTGAAAAAAATCGGCGATTAATTCACAATCAGTTCAATGTTTTGACGCATTATGCTGACATGAAACTCGTGTATAATTTCATATATTCATTTATGGTAATGCATAATGCTATCATCGTGTAGTTGTTTTTTGAGCGCCCATTTCCAATGTTTGAGCGCCCATTTTCGATGTTTGAGCGCCCATTTCCAATGTTTGAGCGCCCATTTTCGATGTTTGAGCGCCCATTTTTAATTTTTGAGTACATGTTTTCTATGTTATATGTGATGTTGTTTGGCTATTAATTTCATGTTCAGTCAGTTCTTGGTAAAATAAGATTAAAACTTTGCTTGGCTGTGAGATGTTTTTTTAAACGTTGCGGTACAAAACCAATCATAGATACTTTAAGATGAAACAATGTTTTCTTTTAACTGCTAACGAAAATTTCGTTCGAGAAAATGTTGTGCATCTATTGAAGTAAGAGACGTATTTATAACACACTGATCTAGCCAATCGGATGCAATGTTACTGATAAAAAAACTAGTGTTCTACCAATAGAAAAGCCTTTCTCAAGCCGGATGTCATTAAAGCATAATACCGAAAGTCTAACAGATCAAATCTAATATCGTATCTTAACTTTTGTTAATTAAATTTTACTTTGGATGTTTTTCAGAAATATTTCTGACTGAAAATGACAACGAAGATTATCATTAATGTATGTGCTTTAAAATAAAGACGTCACCACGCTTTATTCACCACACTTTTTTTTTCTTTCTTTTTCTTTGTATGTTGAATAAGCTTTCTCCATTGTTGGCGAACTGAAGAATCACAAGTCAGACATTGACTAACTGTAGTACGTGTATATCAAAATCTGGAAAATTTGCATGAGATGGCTTCTTACTTGTATTTCAGATCATGCTAGTTTACGTGTTTCAATATTTTGAAATGATTGATATAAAATGGACATAACAGAAATAGGACATCCATAATCAAGTGAAATACTAATAAAAAACGTGAATGTTAATCAACACAATGAATAAGATTGAAACCAGATTGATATAATTTCTATTATTGGTGAAGTAAGATGATTGATTTTAATCCTCACGTTGTGAATGTTTATTTTTCTGCTGGGTTTAACGCCAAGTGAACTGCCAGGGTCTCGTTTTGGTAGTTGGTGACCACCTCATTGACCAACATACGGAAGGCCATTTCATGCCATCTAGAACAATTACGTAAAATGTCTCCCCGACGACAGCACTTTAGAATTAATTATGAAATTATATCAATTTACATCTGGAAAATCAGTCAGTTAAGTTTTCAGTCTCCAAAAGTAAGTAATTTTTACCGTCATTTAATCGTTTATTTGTTGTGTTCATCGTCCCGTAAACAGTCATGGTCAGTTTGAGACGATGTCTCCCTGACGTAGCTAGTGGATACCTCACTGAACAACATACAGGAGGCCCCTTGTATGCCATCCAGAACAACATTGTAATATGGATCCTGAAATTATATTAATCATATATAACGCATACAGTAATGTAACACATTGCAAGTTATAAATATATGTGTCCTACCTATATATAATAAATCTCTCCGTAAATGATATATTCTGATTGATATATATAAAATGAATCTGCAAATTGATATCATATTTATTCGCGTGGTTGGCCGTTCAAAATAAGTACTTTTCTTCAGGTTTTACTGAGACTTAAACTCAGATCGCAGCCTGTTCAGAGTCCAGAGTGCTAACCATTACACCATAGAACCATTTGATAGGAAGCGTCTGTTCTTGATAAAACAGATAGGCCACAACCACTGGATGAATAGTGTCAATACAGACGTTGATCTCACTCTAGTACATGTACATTGAAATCTGGAGAAATCGCACTACATTTAGATAGCTAGTCATCTATGAAGAAATGAAGATGAACAAATGCTAGTTCTTCTGTTATCTTTAAGACTTTTTATCAGACATAATAAGCATATTTATCTCTGAATATTTATGTTTCAATGAGCTTTGTTAAGTGGAGTCAAATAGGTACATGCGAAATGTGAACTGATTTGACCTTTTGTCATTTTGAGGAAATGTCCCCATGTAGTATGTGTTCACAAACTCCCTGAATATCGTGTATCATAAGGCTCGTATCGTGCTGTCACAGAAACTGTAAGACATTCTCATGGTAAAGTGCTCGCGTTTCTGCGAAACATGTGTTGACATTAAGAAAATCCTTGTGTAAGGCAGCTTTTCAAATGTAGACGCAGATTCAAGACCAACTATCCGAATAGTAAACTTCAAAATTAAAAAAAAAAGAATGAAGAATAATGTGAAGCCCGACATACCCTTCACAACATGAGTGTACCAATTTTATTGGTGATTTCGTCGCTAAATTAGGATAAATGTTTGGATAAAGGGCGAATCTAATGTACAAAAATATCACCCATGGCAACGACAAGAAAGTATATAGGTACTGCTACGGCAAAATTAGGATATTGATCAAAATACAATGCGTTTAAAGGGCATACCCGTGTAAATTTAAATATTGAGTTTTCTAAGTCGCCGCGTATATTGCAACACCCACGCTAGCAAAACATATCATTGATAAATATAAGAAGGACGAAACAGATGTGTAACGCAGTTTGTTAATGAATTAGCTATACTGTATTGTAATGCGACTTTTTCAGATCCATTTGATATATTTCATAAGCAAATTTTCGAATCTTGATTTCTGTTGCTAAATTTTTAGTTAGGTATCGGTTGAAATATGCTGTTTCTCTTGTGTTTCATGTAAATACCTACATGGCGACATAATCATAATCCAAGTTCAAATTCCATAAAACTAGGGCAAATATGAACAAAAGAAAGATTTACACGGAGACTCCTGTAAAAAGTATAAGGAGAATAAGACTAAGTGTTCCGGAAGAGTAAACATCTTCTGTTTAGTTGATAACACCCGCCATGTAGACTTTGGTCAATCCAAGTAAATAATATCACGTCCTCAAATGAGAACAACGTCCAGCTCCATATCACACAAAGAAATAGGATATTTCTCAATGAGATCACTAGGGAGACCACAAAACTTCCCCATATGCTTCATTAATTTGCATCTTTTGAATCTCTGTGTTACGTGCATGTTCGTCAGTTGACGACTTCTTGAACAAAAACGTGATAATTCGAACAGGCCCTTGAATATCGAATGAACTGTGACATGTTAATATCACAGTTTGGAAATGCAAGGATATTGCTATAGTTCAAAATTGGGAAATTGAAATCAGCACCCTGTCCACGTTGGTTTCGTTGTAGCCGGAGAAGACAGCGATATGCAGCTGATGTAGAAGTGCCGTGTCTTTGATTTCCAATTCTGATGGATTTATACGATGAACGTGGTCAATAAATTTCTTGTTATCTAAAGACAAGACGTCATCAATATGTCTGAAAGTGAAATCTAACGACTTTACCAGGTCTTTGTGATGAGCTCTTCAATAAAAACAAGTCAGCCAACAGAGGGGCGCAGTTAGTTCCCATAGGTATGCCAATAGTCTGTCGGAAGATCTTACCGCCAAACTCGATGAAGATGTTGTCAAGCGGACAACAACCACTGGACGAAGAAATGCTAGTCTTTTCGTAACAGCTGTTACGGTTTGACTGACACAATATATAGTATCTATTATCATTTTTTTATCGCTAGGAATTTGAGAGAAGCTAAAATCCAAACCAAAGTCTAAAGTTGAATTTCTTAGATCTGTCTTTAGGTTCTGCCGATACTTGAATTCGGTCACAGAATTCAATGTCCAGAGTGCTAACCATTACGTCATAGAACCATAGAGCTAGGCAATAACCACTGGACGAAGAAATGCCAGTCTTTTCGTAATCGCTGTTACGGTTTATCTGACATAATAAACAGTTTTTTTTCTCTCTATTCACACATCGCTATGAATTTGAAAGATGTCGAGATCAGTACCAACACTTCGTTCACGTTACAGGTTCTTCCAAGACTTGTTCACGGATCGCAGGATTCAAAGTCCCGAGTGTTAGCCATTACGCGTGTACAGCTTGGTATATTATGTGTTGAGTTATTATTATGAACAGGCACATAAATCTATTAACCATTGTAAAGAGTGTTCTTACAAACCCGGTGTTGTAGGGGAGGTAACCGTTATTTCTTATGCGCCATGTTCAGATAGGAACTGTGAAAATCTGGCAGTCTCGGAAACGTCGGTCTGATCTCCGAAGAGTCGGATACAAAAGACTCCGAATAAATGCAATGTATTTTGACGTTTCCTCACATATACCACTGAGTTAGATAGATTTACATCTAGGTCCGTGAATAAATCTAAACCATTGCGAAACTAGATAGAAAAGTATAAATAAAGGACGTCTTGTTGCTATTTATTCGCAGAAAATAAACAAAACACAAACAAAATATCACACAAATTCTAAATTACAGAATCCGTTTGCAGCCTTATCCAAGTGAACTCGCAGTCCAATAAACTAATTTGTGTCCTGTCACGACCACTAATCCAACACGTCGCCAGAACGCTGACGTTCGTCAGTGGGACAATACCTGGATATGGGATAGTCGCGGAGACGGAAACCCTGTAACTAATTAACCACTAACCCCCTCCGAAAGACGGGTTTCCGAAG